ATAGTTAGTTCTCCTACGAGCGACTTGTTTTCCGTTTTATAATGCCAGATCAAGTCAGGATGCCTGGTGCATTTATAATCAAGTCATATTTACCGACCGTAACGCGACAGCTCGCGTAATGTAGTGATTCCCTCAAGTATGACACCTAAAGAAACACAGTTATGTGCAGTGTTTATAGGCGTCAGTATTTATTATATAAACTGGAAAATTGCCAAATTAGTAGACCTCTATACGGTCCCACAGCCGTGATAAAATTGAAATGTTCGACTACGTACGCTTCAAAATGGGCGAAAGTGGCGTAACGGCAAGTGGCGCCGCTAACACGCGCATGGTCCAAGGATCAATTTCATACGCCGTCCAGACCAACCAAGTCCACCATCCCCATCGGATGGAACAGTGGCTTGTATAATATAATGCATCGGCCGGCCCGCAAGTCAATGTAGAGGCCAAATCGCCTTTTACATGCCACTGCGATTCCAAAATGAAGCAGGATAGGTGGCGCACTCCAAGAAGGAGTGAACGCCGGATTATTACCCTTACATCTTTTTATGCTTTAAAATTAGGCATGCCCGAAAAGGAGGTAGGATTAGTAGAAGAAAATGAGGCAATAGTCCAACCAACTTACGATGTTTAGTCTCAATTTCTTCTCGAAGAAATTGTCCAACAGTACGATGATGTGGTTCGATACGACAGAAAACCTACTAAGAAGAAATTAACAAGTATTTTACTACCAATTTTCTCTGAATCAGCAGCGTCTCATTTAAACAAAACACCCCTATATGAGTCGAAATTTAAGACCATTGTTTCATACCTGATCTATTAGCCATCCGAAGGTTATCGGGTGGTACGCCGTTTTGGAGCCGGGTGGATACTTTGGAGCTTGCTGTTCGATAATGGTTGCCATCCGAAGAGGGTTGGTCAGGTCAGCCAAAGTGAGCGTCTCTTCGAAATATGGTAGACCAGCCTACAACAGTAGGAGCAACATAATCTTAAGCTCAAAGGAAGAGGATAAATGATAAAGAGGAAGGGCATCGGGGACGCATGTGCACCACATGAAGCAGTTACCTTGGTTGCCAGGGAAGCGAGATGTGGCGCTTTCACAACGAAAGGTGTGCTGGTTGCTGAGCAGGACTTCTAAGGCGCTCC